TTTTTTGAGACAGAGTCCTACTGTGTCACCCTCAGTAGAGTGCTGTGGCATCACAGCAACCTCAAACTCATGGGCTTAAGCAATTCTCTTGCCTCAGCTTCCCGAGTAGCTGGGACTACAAGTGACTGCCACAACACCTGGCTATTTTTCGGTTGCAGTTGTCATTGTTGTTTAGCAGACCTGGGTTGGGCTGGCGCCCTGCTCATTGAGCTACAGGTGCTGAGCCCAAAGCTAAGTTTTTAATTATTGTGTTTAGAATATCAAGTGAAGTCTAAGGGCTTTCAATAGGTTCATTTTAAAGTAGGTTTTTTTGGTGCTAAGTATTTAAATGGAATTATCAGAAATGTTTTCAGCTATTTAAAATTAGATATCAGATTTGGATCCCCCCTTTTAAAAAACCTTTGAAAACCATCCTCAAAGGTCAATTTTCAAAAATAAATACAGTAATGCTTAAGAGTTTAGACCTCAGGTGCTGGGGGCTAGCTTTGGAGTGCTGGATGCTGTGGCTGTAAAGGAGAAGCTGGCATTACTGCCCGGGTTAATGTGAAGATTAAATACGGAATTGTACCTGATACAGAGCTAGTGGATTTATTTTTTTGCTGCTGTTACTGTAAAAGAAGCTCATTTTGGAATCTGAAATCTAACCTTATAAATGTATGTGCTGCATTATTTTCATCCCATTTTTAAAACACAAAACAATTTTAGGTGTCTGTGACCCTCGAGACCTTTCAAGATCTGTCCTTGCCGATTCCTGGTAAGGAAGACCTTGCCAAGCTGCACTCGTCGAGTCACCCGACCTCCATAGTCAAGGCGGGATCGTGTGGCGAGGCGTACGCTCCACAGGGGTGGATAGCTTTCTTCATGGAATACGTGAAGAGGTGTGTATCTGCTTTCTTTGTCTTAAATGATTGTTAAACTACTGTTTCTGCTGTACTGGCAGAACACTTCCTTTTCTTTCTATCAATGATGTTTCAGGTTTGTTGTCTCCTGTGTCCCTAGCTGGTTTTGGGGTCCAGTAGTAACCTTGCAAGATTGTCTTGCTGCCTTCTTCGCCAGAGATGAACTCAAAGGTAAGAAATGTGATAATAGCGATGGCTAATTTGTTATAGGTGAGCCTAAATACTGGTGTAAATACTAAATTTTACTTGCAAAAGCTAGATTTTAAGACAGATTAAATAGTGTTTGCCCATTGGCATGATAGCAGTTTTTCCCATGACAATATAACTACAATGAGAAAAATAGATATCCTGGTGGAATTTATGTAAATTATTACAGTACAGGACAAATTGACAGGTGAAATATCTTAAAACCAGTCTGAGATTTAAAGACAGTCAAACTAAACCAAAATCATGGATTTGCCTGTATATCTGGAATTGTCTGTGAACTTCTCCACATCACTTAAGGGTTCTTCACTGTTTTGTGTCTAGCACTTTGCTTGGACACACGACAGGCATGTGATGAATATGTGGAGAGGATATTTATTATTTAAGGGAGCCCTTCAAGTTGAAAGGAGCAAAGGGGAAGGGAAGATAAATAATCCAACTTGTGAGGAGAGACAAAAAAAGGGAACCGTGGGCAGCGCCTGTGGCCCAAGGAGTAGGGCACTGGCCCTGCCTACCGGGGGTGGCAGGTTTGAACCCGGCCCTGGCCAAAAAAGTAAAAAAAAAAAAGGGGAGGGGAAGCTTTATTTTACTGAGCTGTGTGGTCACCATGTAGCAAAAATCAAAGGATTATAGAACCAAAGGAAAATAATTTGCTGTTCTGTTTACAGGTGACAATATGTACAGTTGTGAAAAATGCAAAAAGTAAGTGACATTGACAGTGCTTTTAATGGCATATTATATATTTTTCTTGGTTATATGAATTGGGTACATAGAGTTAAATTTGCCACTGTATTTTCAAAAATTAGGTCAGAAAGCTTTGTGCTTATAAGAATAAAGAGAGCAAAAAGACAGCTGTTCTAGAGCCAACACCTTTCTGTTCCTGACCTTTTGTTTCTGGGGTGCTGGATGCTGCTGTTCCTGACCTTAAGGCACAGTGTGTGCTTGCCGCAGTGTTTTCAGGGCTCTGCTGTTGGTAACTCCTACGCCACAGCTGGAGACTCAGCAGGTATCAGCGTGTTTGGCCCTGCCATACTGATTTATCTTGGCCACTCTAGAGTTGGGATTTTTTTCCCCCTGCCAGATGGGAGGAATTTTTCAAATAGCAGCATATAGAGCTGGAGCTCTTTTTCATTTATATGAGGAGTCAGGAATCATGTCCAGATTCAGGATGTAGATAGACAGCTCAGAATTCTAATAGCCATATAAGGTGTTTACCACTGGGCAGTGCCTGTGGCTCAAAGGACTAGGGCGCCGGCCCCATATACTGGAGGTGGTGGGTTCAAACATAGCCCCGGCCAAAAACTCCAAAAACTGCAAAAAAAAAAAGATGTTCACTTGTTCATCATGAGGTAAAATTTAGCAAATTTAATAGACTTATCCAAGATGTGAAAATATACATTTTGAGGGATGATTTAAGTGATTTTGCATGCAATATTTTTGAAATAGGGCAATATTGTTTTCTGAATTTCCATTTTAACAAGCTAAATTCAGGAAGAAAAAGGTACATAGTTTCAGAAAAGGTATATCAACTTTGATCTTATCTGCTTATCATGGCAGAATAGGACAGCTGAAGTCCAATTTTATTTATATCCATTACCTATTGCCTTTTACTACCCTTGTAATACATTTGGACGTTAATGCTTCTTGGTGGAGACTTGATGAAGGCAACTATTTTGAGGTGGAATGAACTGGGAAATTTTCTGAGTCTTTGTGGTATAAAAAATAATGGCCTCCTAATAAGATCTAGAGTCTTACCAATATGGACTTCTGGTTCTTGGCAGTAACTCTAAGAAACATTGCTTTGCAGCTGTTGGTCCTTTTCCTTGCAGAAAGGAATGATATACCATTTGGTTGGTAAAGATGAAAAAGCTGCCTTACACTTTTGGAAAGATTTTATCAGTTTGTCTTTGCTGACAGCTTAAAAGGGAGTTGGCCCGGAGAGGGATCCTTCCTTGTAAAGCCGAACAGACCAAGAAGATAACAGTGAAGATGGAAGAGAAACTTGGATCTACCTCCACATCCAAACTAGAGCTCTGTCGGTTGTTATCTTTTACCTCAGATTTTTCCTGACAATACATTTTTTTTTTTTTTTGTCAAAACACCTTTAATGATGGAGAGAAGGATGTTAATACCTCTCCTATCTGCTCCTGACGTTTTACTGGGGTAGGAAGCTGTGGAGCCTACAACTTTGGAGGAGAAGCCATCATTCAAGTTGGTCAACAGCAAACCCTTGCTTCTGTTCCAAATGATCTTATAGTAAATGCTACATGTCATTCCAAGACAGGCAGAGAGGACACCCTCTGAAGCTTATCTCCCCAAAGTCTGTGACTCTAAGACAGGGGCAAAAATATAAGCCTTGGCCAATGTGAGGAAAAGAGTCTAGAGAAAGGAAGGTGAGGGCATACAAGGGGCCAGGAAGTACCGAGGGGTTATCTAAGACTAGAAGCACACTGCTACTGGGCAGTCCTCTGTGATCCCTGGTGCGCTCCTGTACACCATGTCATTATTAGTCAAAAAGGTATGTCTGTATGAGAATTGACGAGGATTTGAGGCTCCCCACGTTCATCATGTTCGTTTCTTAATCACTTAGGTTCCTGGCAAGTCGTACATTTCAGCAACATTCTTCAGCTCTTCCACGTTCCTTCCTCAGCTACGCTCACCAACAGTGCTCGTTACAGACAGGAACTAATTTCACATTTCCCAGAATATCCCATGTTAGACCTTTTGGCAAGAAATAAGTTTGTTGGCCAGGCACTGTGGCTTACACCTGTAATTCTAGCACTCTGGGAGGCTGAGGTAGGAGGAGTACTTGAGCTTGGGAGTTGAAGACCACCCTGAGCAAGAGCTAAATCCTGTCTCTACTAAAAATAGAAAAATTAGCCAGGCATGGTGGGGCACACTTGTAGTCCCAGCTGTTAGGGAGCCTGAAGCAAGAAGATCATTTGAGCCAAAGAGTTTGAGGTTGCTGTAAGCTGTGATGATACCACGGTACTCTACCCAGGGCAACAGAGGGAGACTGTCTCAAAAAAAAAATTCAGTTTGTTTTGAAACTTTGAGAGGCCATGATGAATGAGAATCTGGAGATGTCTTGGCCTGTTGACCAGCAACACCTTTGCCTCAGTATGACTGGGAAGGGATTTCCTGGGAAAATTGTCCTATGCCCTTCGCTTCTCCCTGCCTCCTGTGGTCGAGCCAGCAGTTACTGGAGCATCTTCTTTGCTGGCATCTTCTGGAGCAAGGGGAGGCAGAAGGAATGTACAGTTTGCTACCTACCATCTGTGATGGGCTTTTCAGGCACTGCCTTAGATGCAGGAGGCTGAAATAGGAGGAGGGGAACTGTCCTCTCTTTGGTCTTTCTGGATCCTGTTGTTGGAAGTAGCTTCCTAGCAGCAGTTCCTGGACCAGCGACACTGGCAGGGTCAGGCCTAAAGTAGTACTGGAGGTGGAGCTGGAACTATGAGGCTTAATGTGCAGGCCATTTGACAGGGAAGATGTGTACTAGTTCCCGAAAGATTGATTGTGTGGCTGGGCGTGGTGGCTCACACCTGTAATCCTGGTACTCTTGGGAGGCTGAGGCAGGTGGATTGCCTGAGCTCAGAAGGTTGAGACCAGCCCGAGCAAGAGTGAGACCCCATCTCTACTAAAAATAGAAAAAACTAGGTGAGCATTGTGGTGGGCACTTGTAGTCCCAGCTACTTGGGAGGCCGAGGCAAGAGGATCTCTTGAGCCCAAGAGTTTGAGGTTGCTGTGAGCTATGATGATTCCATAATACTCTAGCCTGGGTGACAGAGTGAGACTCTGTCTCAAAAAAAAAAAAAAGAATTGCACACCTCTCTAAATTTTTATTACCGGTGGTGCCTGTGGTTCAAGGAGTAGGGTGATAGCCCCATATACTGGAGGTGGTGAGTTTGAACCCAGCCCCAGCCAAAAAACAACAAAATAAATAAATAAATAAAAATTTTATTACTGATATCTTGGTTTAAATTATTTTTTACAATGAGGAACTCCAGTGTTTTATTAAAATAATTCAATAATGAGCATTCTAGACTGATGCCCTTTGTTTCTACATTTTCTAAGAGTTGTACCATGTCTTTAAATACCATAAATCTTGTGTGGATTCATTGGTTTTCTCTTTTCCTGTCTTAGGCTGAGGAATGGAGTAAAGTTTTGTAAAGTTCAAAAGTTTCCTGAGGTATGGACTTTAATTTTAATTGTTTATATTATGTGGTAGGAATGTAAAGTATTAATGTCACATAAGGTAATAATAAATTCTGAGCTAGGGTAAAGAATGGAGTGGTTCTGTTGAGCACTTGCTATGCATACATTTTAAAAATACTAGGTTAAATACTGGAAGCACTATGTTGAACACTGTTTAATTAGACTTTGTAGGATTTTGCAAGCATAAAGTGTAGAATTAGGAAAATAAGCACCAATGAATTGAGGAAGTACTATGTTTCACCATTCCATATTTTTAACATCTCTGGAACCAGGTTATAGTTACAGGTTAATATTTATGACACTTGAAATTTAATAAGTATATTTGATAGACTCTTTTATCTGGCATATAAAACTAAAACTTTAAATAACTTTATAATTTTATTTTGATTGAACACTTTATATAGAGGTGCTTATGGAATAAAAATCTAGTATATTAAGTTTTACTACTTAGAATAATTTGTCTTTTTAATGACAAATTATAGTTTTGAATTTTATTCTTTTAGATTTTATGCATCCACCTGAAAAGATTCAGACATGAACTGATGTTTTCCACCAAAATAAGTACCCACGTGTCATTTCCACTAGAAGGCCTAGATCTTCAGCCCTTCCTGGCTAAGGATAGTCCGACTCAAATTGTGACGTATGATCTTCTGTCAGTTATTTGCCATCATGGGACTGCAAGTAGTAAGTATACATATTGGACATTTGTTCTTAGATTTAAAAAAATAAAACAGGCTCGGCGCCTGTGGCTCAAGTGGCAAAGGCACCAGCCGCATACACTTAAGGTGGCAGGTTTGAATCCAGCCCAGACCCACCAAGCAACAATGATGGCTGCAACCAAAAAATAGCCAGGCGTTGTGTTGGGCACCTGTGGTCCCAGCTACTTGGGAGGTGGAGGCAGAAGACTCGCTTGAACCCAGGAGTTGGAGGTTGCTGTGAGCTGTGATGCCATGGCACTCTACCCAGGGCGACAGCTTGAGGCTTTGTCTCAAGAAAAAAAAAATAAAACATTCGAATTGAGCCCTTAAATAAGACCTAATTGACCGTCTTCCAAAAAATACTGAAAAATAGATTTTGCTAGTGGTTATTAAAACTGTGTCAGACAGTTTTAGGAAATTGAATATTCTTTACTATGATACTTAGATATTTGGAATTACAGTGTATAAAGTTAAACAATAAGACTTTAATGTGATCATTTTTATACTGGGGCTTAAAAGATTACATGTCCTGTCCTTTATTTACTAATGGGGAGGCAGCAAGAATACGTATTGAAAAAAATAGAAGCATAGCTCTTGCTGCATCTAAGCTGCTGTGGTAGGCGCCAGAGACAAATAGATTATCTTACATTATTGTTTTCAGTTTGCATTACTGTAATGATTTCTTTTCCCTCAAATTCAGGTGGACACTATATAGCCTATTGCCGAAACAATTTAAATAATCTCTGGTATGAATTTGATGATCAGAGCGTCACTCAAGTTTCAGAATCGACTGTACAAAATGCAGAAGCTTATGTTCTTTTCTATAGGTAATGGAAGTGACTATCTCATGGATCACTTATTTTTACAAATAAGAAACAATATCTTGTTGGGGTTATTAGTGATTTTTGAGACTTTTAAGTGGATTGCCAAGTAAATATTAGAAATTGTTTTTCTCTCATTTCAAAATAAAGTAAGAGTCTATGCAGAAAACATATGCTCAGAAAACATTAAGTCATTTGGTTAAAGGGACGTATTTTGTTTTAGAAAGATTAGTTTTAATTAAAAAATTAAGTACTAATGGTAGAAATTAAGTAGCATATTTTCTCCTAAAATAGCAAATACAGGAGGTACTACTGTTAAAATTTTTGGTATTTTTTAGTACCTTATGAAAGAAGATGCTAGCTTTTGAAACAGAAAGACAGACTAAATATTTAGTTTGATAATATTAACAAACATTTGAATGCCTACTTTGTATAGGTAGTTATGTGGATAGATCCCAGTGGTTAAGATACAGAATCATCCCTAAGGGTATAGAATGTATTTGATGGATGATACATTTTCTTTTGATTCCCAAGGCCTAATGAGATTAGTATTAGTGTGCTAAGTCTAATAAGCAAAGGGGAAAATTCACCTGCTTGTCTAATGTAGTAAAATGCATATTGAATTTAATTAATCATTGTCCTTAATAGGAAGAGCAGTGAAGAGGCACAAAAGGAGAGGCGGAGGATATCAAATTTATTGAACATAATGGAACCAAGTCTCCTTCAGTTTTATGTTTCTCGACAGTGGCTAAATAAATTTAAGACCTTTGCTGAACCTGGCCCTATTTCAAATAACGACTTTCTTTGTGTTCATGGAGGTAAGAAATTCTGTAATGCAAAGTAGTGATAGGAATTTGCTATTAAATAATTTGCAAATTAGGAAAGAGTCAAGAATTTTCCATTTCCTCATTTGCGGTCCAACTTAATGAATTTAATTACATATGGTTTCAGAAATTGGGCCTTTTATTTCTAATTATAGGCAATCTATAGCTTCTGCATTGAACATATGTTTACTAAGTATCTGGTATAAAGCCTATGAACACCAGAAGGAGCCTGACTAAACCTGTGTTAGACCCTATTTCTGTTCTCTGAGCTCTAATTTAATAGTAGAGTCGGGTACACAAACAGCTGATTACAGTACAGTGAACTCTTCTGTCACACATCACTTGTCTGAGCTGAAGGTATTTCTTTGGTAGTGATTTCACCTACCATCTGTATTCGTGGTCTTTAAACCTTTTATCTAAATGAATTGCTGGCTCTTTTCCTGAGTATGGCGTATAACTAGCCAGTGAAAGATGCCTCATGGTTAAATATAATTTAGGCCTTTGTGATTGGCTGTGTTAGTGTTTGTTTGTTTTTTGTTGTTAGAGACAGAGTCTGATTTTTTTGCCCTTGGTAGAGTGCTGTGGTGTCATAGCTCACAGCAACCTCCAACTCCTGGGCTTAGGCAATTCTCTTGTCTCAGCCTCCCGAGTAGCTGGGACTACAGGCGCCTGCCACAACGCCTGTCTTATATTTTTGTTGCAGTTTGACTGGGGCCGGATTTGAACCCGCCACCCTCAGTATATAGGGCTGGCGCCCTACCCACACAGGCACCACCCTTGGTGTTTGTTCTTAAAATAAATACAACCTTTGTGTGATACTCTGGTTAACCTTCATTGTTGAAGACTCAGTATTCTTGTTAATTATGTTTGTAGTAAACCCACAAGGGACAGGAATATTCTGTATTGGATATAGAAACCTTAACACCTTTTCTGTGGATATCAAGGTATATGTTCATGTTTAGGAAACATAATCACCAAAAATGCTATCTATGTACCTTTTTGGGAGAGTGGATTTCAGAATAGTGATTGGCTAGTCATTTATTCATTCTTCAAAAATGAGTTTAATCTTTGAAAATAATATAAATGAATTAAAGAATGAGACACTCATGCCTAAACTTTTTTAGGTGTTCCTCCAAGAAAAGCTGGTTATATTGAAGACCTGGTTTTGATGCTGCCTCAGAACATTTGGGATAACCTATATAGCAGGTTTGTTTCTTTAATCAGAGAGTAAGAGTACTGTGAAAGTACACTGTTAAAGGAGGGTTGGATTATTTCACAGATATTCCTTGTGCTGTATGTTGCTTATGGAGAATGTCTCTTCTTTTTCCTTCATTCAATCTGAAGTGTGACTAGGAAGGCTTTATAGCTCGATTGAGAACTGCTGGTCTAGATAATTCTCACTTTTTTGTTCTGACTATCTTTAAAGGTATGCTGTGATATTTAACTTTAAGTACCTTGTTGAGAAGGTTTTGCATATCCCATCACAACTGTGTGAATATGTGTACATTCACCCAATTGAATATTCCTACTTTTTTTTTTTGAGACAGAGTCTTACTCTGTCTTCCTAGGCTAAATGCCATGATGTCAGCTTAGCTCACAGCAGCCTCAAACTCCTGAGTTCAAATGATCCTCTTTCCTCAGCCTCCTGACTAGCTGGGACTATAAGTGCCTGCCAGAACTTCCAGCTAATTTTTCTATTTTTAGTAGAGGTAGAGTCTCAGTCTTGCTTAGGCTGGTCTCAGACTCCAGGGCTCAAGGGATCTCTCTGCCTCAGCCGCCAAAAGTGCTAGGATTACAGGTGTTAGCCACCCTTCCTAGATATTCCTAGTACAGTACATTTTGTACTGTAGTTTCCTTAATAATTATGTTTCCTTAGTTAATTTTTTTTTCTTTTTGGCAGAGTCTTACTCTGTTGCCCTGTGTAAAGTGCTATAGTGTTGTCATAACTCACAGCAGCCTCAAACGCTTGGGCTCGAGAGATCCTCTTGTCTCAAGTCTCCTGAGTAGTTGGGACTACAGGTGCCCACTACTACGCCTGGCTAGATTTTTTTTTTTTATTCCTGTTTTTAGTAGAGATGGGGTCTTGCTCTTGCTCAGGCTGGTCTCGAACTCCTAAGCTCAGGTGATCCACCAGCCTTAGCCTTCCAGAGTGCTAGGATTACAGGCATGAGCCACTATGACTGACCTCCTTAGTTAAATATTAAAAATACTCTGTACCTTGAATGCTTCTTACCTAAGAGGCCAGGGAAAGCTGTCATCTGATTGAAACCTGACTATGACTGTATATATAACTGAGGTTTATATGTGATATGCTAACTTTAAAAAACCATTTATGTTACCTTGTTGCCTGTAACATTTTGAGAAGTAGCTATTAGGGCAGGTTGAAATATGGAAAAGTATGTTAAGCAATACATTAATACAGTCATTGACATTAATAAACAAAATCAAATCTTTATGATTTTAAACTTTTACAATACTTTGAGATTTTTATTGTGTGGATTTATTCTTAATTGGGGATTTAGCCATTGACTTAAGCATTAGGAACAAATTTCCTAGACCATCAGCTTTCTTTAAGATTGTCATGATTTTAATTCTTCAATTCTTCACGGTTTAGGTATGGAGGAGGACCAGCTGTCAACCATCTGTACATTTGTCACACTTGCCAAATTGAGGCAGAGAAGATTGAAAAAAGAAGAAAAACTGAATTGGAAATTTTTATCCGGGTAAAAAAAGTGATGCTTTTCAAATTGTAAATGGATTAGGATAAATACGAAGACCTTAGCCAGCACAGCTGTGCAGTGTTAATGACAATGACCAATGACAGAGTTGAAACAGGTTTTCTGGGTTTATAATAGTGAGTGACCTCAGGCAGTTCACTACAATTCCAGTGAGACAAGTTCTTCCTTTGTGAGTTTTTGTTTTTATGGATTGACAATAAATTTTGTTTTATGGATTGGTACTGGCAAGAAATTTCCTTATTGGAACAGAAAATGACACATTTTCTTTAGTTTGCTGTCTATCTCCATCCCTTCGTAAAACATAATATTGTTCTGTCTTATGGGGAACTCTCAGTGTTTATAAATATACCTGTTTTCCTCAATGAGTGTGTTATGAGATGTTCCTTAATTGTCAGCTACAGAATGTCTGTTCATGGAATTATAAAGGGCAACAACCAGGTTGTATGGACAAGGACTGGCACAGTTTCAGTAATCTGAGTAGCGAGAAGTCTTTTCAAAGTGCTGCTGTCAGTAACACAGCTCCAGTTATTCAGGACAGGCTAAAGTTTGGGTCACTTTAGAAGCATGTTCATGGACAGTCTTAACTGAGACAGTATTAGTGGGTCAGATAATACTGCAAGAGAAGACTGGGTTTCTTTTAGTAAAAGCAGGGGAGAAGATACTGAGCATATCAAAATAAGACCTAAAGTCTTACTCATGCCTTCCCAGTGCGTGTACAGAGGCACATACCTGCTGGTCTTTGATTCAGAGAAGATACAGATATGGATTTGTTTAATTCATTTTACGTGGGCCTCATTTGCTTCCTAAATCTAAGGAAGCAAATTTAGTTGAATATTAAAATTAGCGCATTCCTGGCTTGGCACCTGTAGGTCAAGCAGCTAAGGCACCAACCACATACACCAGAGCTGGCAGCTTTGAATCCAGCCTGGGCCTGCCAAACAATGACAACTACAACCAAAATATAGCTGGGAATTTTGGTGGGCACCTGTAGTCCCAGATACTCAGGAGGCTGAGGCAAGAGAATCACTTAAGCCCAGGAGTTGGAGATTGCTGTGAGCTGTGATGCCATAGCACTCTACCCAGGGGGATAGCTTGAGGCTCTGTCTTAAAAAAAAAAGAAAAAAAAATTAGTGCATTCCAGCAGTGCTTAAATCATGGCTAATGACTATATCTGTCAAGGTTTGACTAACAGAAGGCATTCCAAATGTTTTTAATAGCATTGAAATGCAGAGAATGAGAGGCAAAAGCACTGCCAGAGCCGGGCAGTGCAAGACAGGATGACCACTGCTGACTTTCAGGAACTCTGGAAGTGAGGCAGACTGCCACACTGGAAGTGTGAGTGTGGGCAGAATATGGGTTAATAGTCATGACATGGAGAGAGGAGCTTCTGTGTGGGGAGTGGCATGAGCCAAATCAAGGGTGTTGGAGCCCAGGCAGGATAAGGAAGTATGCTTATATTGGCCGGAGGTTGGTGTCAACAGGGGTGCAGCGTAGTGGCAGAGGTGGCAGTGAGAGCTTGATTTCAGATGGGGAATTGATTAAATAATAAGTCTAGTAAGTGCTGGATTCCTTGTTATCAGATAAGGAAGTTGCAAATATGGAAAGGGAGAAAATGAAAATGTACTTTATGTTATTAGATTGGATTTCAGGGTATCTCTGTGACCTCGTGGTGATAGCTAAGTAAATATAGAGTTGTAAAATACGTATGCGCATTACGTATTTCTAGAAAATTGGTGTTTCTTAACTCTCACTGAAAGGACCTGCAGTCAGTGATTATCCCAGAAGGATTTGTCATACCTAGCTGTCAGATCTTGGCTTCTGAACGTCTTTTTGTACTAAAAGGAACCAGCCTTGGAGAAATGGCTGATCCCAGGGCCAAGGCAGAGAAATTATAAGACAAGATTAGCACATCTTATTGTGCCAGAAAGTAAAGAAGTTCTTAAAGAATGATGGAGATTTGTCAAAAGTACATTGAACCCAGCTTGACAGAGCTGCTTCTGGCCAAATTTGGATAGTTTGTACTTCAAAATAAATTGCAGTACCATATAGTCCAGTAAACAAAATTGGAGAAATTGTATCCATACTGATAGAAATAAATAAGTGAATACATGGAGAAATTGAAGAATAGGATAATTACATAATTTTAGTTTACTCCTCCACAAAATGCTTACTAATTATAGGGGAAAGGCTGGATGTTGTAGTTCACAGCTATAATCCCAGTGCTTTGGGAGGCTGGGGGGGGAGGAAGGCAGGTGTTGAAAACCAGACTGACAACATAGTGAGACTCCAGCTTTTAAAAAAAATTAGCTGGGCGTGGTGGCAGGCTCCTGTGGTCCCGGCTGCTCAGGAAGATCGCTTAAGCCCAAGGGTTCAAGGTTGCAGTGAGCTCTGATCGCACCACTGCACTCTAGCCTGGGTGATAGAGTGAGACACTGTCTCTTAAAAAACCAAAACAAACAAACCAAAAAAACCCAAACAAACAAACAAACCAAAAGGAAAAGAGTAACTTTCAGCAGAGAATCTTGGCGCCACCTCAATGACGTTATTAAAGTGAACGTTATTAGAAACGAAGCAAATCAAACTCTTGTTCCAGGATAGGATACAGCGAGAAGAACGTGAGGTCCCTTCATTGGTACAAAGATACATAACCTGAGTTTCAAATGAGGGAGGTCCCATCCAAATGGAGGGATATTCCGTAAAGCAGCAAGATGTTTGGAGGAAAGGAAGATCTGTCCAGCAGCGTGTTTTGAAATTAGACTAGGAAAAGAAGATTTCTTTGTACTGTACTTGGAGTTTCCTCTAAGTTTGAGATTGCTTCAAAGTTAAAATGAATTAAAAGTTGTATAAAGTCCCTGGGAACGATCTCAGCTCCCCGCTGTGGCAGTTCTCAGAAGAATGCTCAGAGACCTGAGGAGCTGCTGCTGCTGCTGTCGGGACCCAGGAGGCTGTTCAGAGGACACCCAGAAGGCAGGCGGTGCTGCTGTTAAAGACGTCAGCGGCCTGTGACTGCAGGCCCTTGCCACCATGCCTGGCTAAGTTTTTCACTTTTTTGGTAGAGACAGGGGGCCTTGCTAGTTGCCAAGGCTGTTTCCAAATTCCTGGCTCAAGTGATCTCCTGCCTCAGGCTCCCAAAATGCTGAGATTATGGCTGTGAGCCACACCCCTAGCCAGGGCTTTTTCTTTTTTTTTTTTTTTTT